TGTGTTGAGAAATGGTTTGACTATTTTACTGACCTAAGCGTATGTGATTGGGATGAATTGGGCTAAGATGAGTCCACAAAATTGTTAATAAGATGGATATAAGTGCTAAGTAATGTGACATTGCCAAGTTTAGTGTTTTGCATTGAGTTTGGAAGCTAACTGGTGGAATTTGTTTGTGTAGATTGAGCATTTGGTAGTTACTCGTGGAAATCTATAAATCATAAAGTGCTTTAATACAAACGATAATCCTTGATAAAAAGGATATGAGATAATTGGATAAATTTTTTTATCTATTAGCTTGTAAAATTATTTACAAGTTCATTGTGTAAATTATCTATATTATGATTTTTAAATAGATAGAGTAGCCTTTTTGTGAAAAGTGATGTGTGCAAAAAGTGATGCTTGCGTTATAATGTAAAATGATAAAAGGGTGTGCATGAGAAAAGTGATACCTTAGTCTAAATAGAGACTTGTGGTCCTACTTTATGTAAGGTTAAGAAACCTTAGTCTAGAGTGTTGATTATGATTTATTAGTGAGAGTGCATAAGCATTCATAAGTGATTAAAGGTGGGAGTTTACCTTGTAGAGATTTATACACCATAGTGTTAGCGCATGTGACACCTATGCCTTGTGTATCATAACCGATGGGCATGGTTGGGCAATTCCCTATCACTTTATGAGTGATTGGTATGAGGAGTATTCGATGCCCTACTAATCAGTTAGGGAGAATCCATAGTTTAGAGGTGGTAAAGAGGTACCAACCTTACTTCTTCCACTAATGGTGAGCTTGGACCGACCAGAGAGGTCCTATGTATAGCTTAGGAGTTCGGTCGAGAGATCTAAAGGTTCAATAGATGCTAGTTAAACATACTCATGTATTTCATTATTGGTTCTATATATAGATCCATATTTATTTGTGAAAATGATGTTACTCTATCTCTTGTGCATAGTTTTACTTGTTAATCAATATTTGGGCTTATTTAAGTTATTAGGACATTTGTCTTACTTCGTTACTTCATGTTTATAAGTGTTAAGAGTCTGAAGAGGCTAGGAAAGGAAATGTGAGAAGAGTAGCTGCATTTATATAAATTATAATGCTACCTTAAAGTAAATGAATGTATATTTGAGTATAGTGTTTAAGTTGCCAACTAGGGTGCAAACATGTATATATATTATTTTAGTGACTTGCTTTTATTATTTTGTGGTATCTTTGCTAATTGTGCAATTATGTGCTAATATGGTGATGGCCTTAAATGCTATTACAAGTGTGCATGCGCGCATGCGTGTTATTTTGTGAAATCTTGCTTTGTGACATGTGCTTAGCTTGTGGTGCTTAAGATGTAGGTACTTGAGTAAGGCTAGAGGTATTTATTTAGTGAGCAAGATTTGAGAATTAGAATGTTCTACTTGTTCCTCTTACGTATTTGTGATAATGTGTGTATGTGCGAATCAGGTGTTAATTGTGAAATTTGACTATGTGGTGAAGCTTAGCCCCATATGTGTGAGTCAAGTATATGCAAGGGGAAGAAGTATTAATGTATATATGTGGTAGTGTTATTATCCAAGTTATGTGGTGTAGAAATCTCACACAAGTCTACTTGGGTGAAAAGTGGTATTGAGTAATCAAAGTACGTATATGAGGCATTATATGTTATGTTATGTGTCAATCAAGTGTATTTAGTCCTTAGCCTTAAATGATCTAATAAAGTAAGGGGTGAGATTTAAATGCATGAGGTGCTTGTTTTTAAATGAAAAGTGCCTTTTTGCACCCTAGTATCTAAATCAAGTTCAAATCGTTAGATCATGTCTAAACTTGTTTCATTAGTTAGCTTGTCTTACAAGCTTCGTGTGGGCGCTTAAATTACTCAAATCGGATATTATATGTGAAAATGGCATGCGGTGAAAATTTTATTAACTGTGCTGTGTGATAGCAAAATCTAACATGTGTGCTGTAGCACATGGTGATATGCTGTAGCGCATAACATAGAGAGAGAGAGAGAGAGGATATATGGCTCTATATCATATGTCGTGGCACATGACACTTTTTGGGAAGAATAAATGTTTTAATCCCTCTTTTAAGGGTAAGGTGTTTATACTTTTTTGAGTGTTTTCCTTATGCATTAACGCCTATGTTGAGTCTTTTTAACTTAAGTCAGGATCCTGCATCTTAAAAATAAAATACCTATTTGTGTTTGAAGAATTTTGGGTGCTAGTGCATGTTAGTGAAGCAGAAAGTGGAGTTTATCACTTCTCTCTTGCTTGTGTTTGTGTTAAATTGGTGCTGTATATTAATAAAGTCCGTGGTGCCTCATAGAACTTTACACTTTCACTCTCACTTTTTCCCTATTCAAAATATCTTAGTACTGACTGTGCAAGTTTCTCTTTTTCATTTGAAGACTTTTATGGTGCTCGCTCACTCTCTAAATCGTAATGCTATTAGTCAGTGCTTGCTCACTCTCTAGTTCTCTACAATAATGTCTTTCTCTACCCTTTTTCTCGCTTTTAATTTCATGAAGATGATTTGATGAGCCTAATGCTTTGTTTAAATGGAGAGAAAATATAAGAGAAAACAACTTTTTCTTTGTTTAGATGAGAAAGAAAAAGTTGAAAGAGGGAAAAGTGGAGGAGAAAAGAGGATGTGGGATCTACTATATTTTCTCTCTAAGTTTTCTCTCCACAAATGAAGAGATTTTGAGGGGAAAAATATTTATTCCACATTTACCCTTCTACTTCTTTGCACATAAGCCTTTGTTTCATCATCTTTTACTTGCCATTTTTCGCCTTAGGACCTCAGCGCTCTAATTCACATCATATTTGCTATGATAATTTGTTTGCTACACTATAATAAGTGACAGTAATTATTATAAAAATAATTTAACAATGATTCACATAATTTTTATGATTATAAAAGTCTTTAGCTTAAAAATTAATGTCCTCGCATTGCTTTGTCTCAGCTCAATGCATGTCTCCATCTTGTCTATAAACTGCATATTTTTATAAATGTATGCCTTTCATATTTTTATGATATTATGTATACATAATTTATTTTTCATGTTATAGTTCCATATGCTTGCCATGGAACTCTTGACTATAAGTAAAAGCAAAATGCTCTCACTAACAAACCAAGAGTTGAATTGGAATTTATTTATTTTTATTATATTGAATTTTAAAAAATATCCAATTTTAAATAAAAATAACATATTTTTACTAGATTATTTGGTTTTAAAATATAATAACATGAAAGTAATTTATATCAAATAATTTCATTTTAAATTTTTTTTTGATGATGTTAATTTTTATATATTGTTTACTTGTAACACATTTTTATACATATAATTACATTAAACATATTTATTTTGATATAAGGGTACTATATTCATTGTGATATTTTCTCATTTTCTTTCCTCCTTATTTTTTTTTTCTGTCTATCTAAACATAAGAAGTGATAATATTTTTTTTCTAGTTTCTTCTTCTTTCCATTTTCTTTCTTCTTAATTTTTCTTTCTATCCAAACGGAGGGTAAGGCTCCATTGCCTCTCATTGCTACTTCCAGTGTCTGCTTCTTACTTGTGATTTTCCCCATTTCATCATTATTAGGGTTTATTGTAATTGGAAAGATTGATAGATGTTTACACTATTTGAAACACACGTATAATGCATTTATTGGATGCCAAAGGATTGATTTGCCTTGTAAAGTAGATGTGAAGGGGCAGATCAGGAGTAGCAATGTACATTAGGAGTTCTCTTTGTTCTTTCATTTTGAGTAACACCTGTAATCAGACATGCCTAATCGTTGATTTAGAATCAGTAAATAATTATAACATTGCCTTTTTCTTAATAGAAGAACTAACTACTATATATTGTACTTGAGTAAGTACATTTTATGCATCAAAACCTTAATTTGTGGTAAATTATACTTCTAAACCTCTTTTTTTTTTGTCCTTTCTAGAATTTGTTTTATTTTTGGATTTGGAATTAAATTTTTATTTGATTTATCTTGAATTTCATAATGCTTTAATTATTTTTTTTTTTGAAAATAGGCTTATGAGCATAGCCCTGAATCATTTGAATAAGAGCCAAGACTCAAGAAATGGGATACTTTTGGGGGGAGGGGGTTGGGCCTATATGGAAAAAATTCTTGAATGGATTCAGTGCATCCACCTCATCTATAGTTCATCTACTAAAAATATGACATTTAGATGATATTGAATATAAATTCATTTTGACATTAATGATAGTATAGAAAGAAAAATAAAAAAAAATTAAATAAGCATTTTATTATAAAAATAAAATCGTTAAAAATAATTACACATAATAATTTATTTTATTGAATTTGTGCAGTTTTATTAAATGGGCCATAAATAATATAATATATTAGATCCATGCAATAATTTCTCAACCGAACTAGCCATGTGGCCAATTCACCGACTTATTAGTTGAATTACTAGTCAGATTCAAGTTTCAATTCAATGTTTATAAATATATATATATATATATCAATATATATATATCAAAATTCATTTTGTTGGTGATTTTAATTAATAGTAAAATTTATGTTGGTTTGATTAGAAAATTAATGTAAAATATTTGATGATTTGTGACCAACAACAAATAATTTTATTAAAATGTTTAAAGGATTAACTATAAAATACTTGTCTCTATATTTTCAAAAATGAAATTATAAATACTAAAATTATTTTAAAATTTTTATCTTTATAATCTTTATAAAAATTAAACATCTTAGTACTTTAAAATATTAGTCCGTAAATATTAAAATATAAAGATGGAGTTAAAATTTAGGGACTAATGACAACTATGTCACGATCTACATAAACGAAAAAATAGTCAATATTTCTAATGGGAAAATTGGATTGATGATATCAGTCCAAACGACAAGCACTCAACCGGTCGAAACCGGCAAAGATTGGTTCGTGATAACGTGATGGATTATATGAATACTCTGGGCCACGGCCCATATATAAGAACGACGATCTAAACCCTTGTGGGGTTTACTGCATTTGTATTATTGGCTTCGTCCTGCGCATAGCTTCTTGGTCCTAAGCTTCCCTTCTTCTCTGTGAATCCTAGTTAACGCGACAAGGTTGGATCCTTTGATTCGGAAAACTGTGCTGCAGCAGTGTCGTCCGGGCATCGGTACAAGAATAACAAACACGTGCTGCCACTTTGATTTTCTCCAGCTACGCCTTAAGAAGCACCATGATTTCGGCCATTTCTTGGGTCCCCAAGGGGGCTTTAAAGTCCCAACCCGTTATGGCCGACCCTCCTTCAAAGGAGGAAATGGAGGAATTAATTAACAGCGTTAACATGGAGAGAAGGTACTTTTTTTTTTCCGATTCTGTTTCGTTCATCAATTTCTGTTTGTGCTTTAGTGGTCATTGAATTCAGTATTCTGATTGTACATGCTAATGCCAGTTGTACTGGTTGTTTCTATTATGTTTTTCTGCGTTTCATTTTTTAGACTACCTTCTGGTGTCTCTTTTCCTTTCTTCGAATTTTGGTTGTATGTTTTTTTCGACAATGGAATAGTACCAAATAGTAAGAAATTTGTAACGTTTCCATTGATTTCCGAATATATTTTTTAGTCCACATTCTCAAGTTTCATTCGCAAATTTTCAACTATTTTAAAAAAACTTGTTATGCGAAGTAAAAGTTTCTAATCGGTTTTCAAGTTAAACTAACTACATTTGTTCTACCAAGGAAAACATCTTTCAAAATGATATTATACTTAATTTTTGGTTTGACGAAATGTTGAGCTTCTAATGGACAAATGAAACAGAAGGAAGTGAGATCCCTTCGATTCAATTGAGTTAATGATGTGCACTAGGAAAGCTTCTAAGTGGAAACAAAGTGATTGATGGTGTATATGACATTTATTTTCTCTCTTTTCCGCCATTTTTTGTATCAGATTCCCTCAATTAATTTAGAGAATCAACTGGAGAAGGAGAAGGCACTTAATTCAATCCCATCCTCTATCTCTCCTCTCTTCCAAACCACATATTCCTGCTTCTCTAGTCTCTGTATCTTTCTCCATCCGAGAGACACTTGCTTACTTAGGGGGTGTGCATTTCTTTTTGCAAAATTACCAAAATTTCACTTATCATTGAGTGATTTTTTTAGATGGTGAGGAATCCATTTGGTCCTGCAATCTTAGTAGCTTGGAAGATGCACATCTCATATAAATTGCTTAGGCATCTGGTTGCATTGATATATAGCATTTTAGATGTGGTGTATAACCTGATATGCATATAGAAGTTGTGTCTTTATGTTTGGTTTTTGGATGAAGAAGTTAATTATTGCATATAGGTTTCAAATATTTAAGATCCTTTGAATTTTTATATAGTGGAGACAGTGAGAACGAAGATAATGATGAAGATATGGATGTTGGTCCTAACGAACAGGATGATGAAGTTAAACAAGCATTATCTGTAGCAGATATGCTTGGAAAGACATCAGAAGTAAAATTTGATGATATAACTCTTGGTTTAAGGGAGCTTGACATGGAAAATTATGATGAAGAGGATGAAGGTATGCTGAACTGATTTTGTTAAATAATTACAGAGCTGGTATGAGATGCTCTTTTGTTTTAAGCATGAGCGGTAATAAAGTTGCAATGTCCAAGGATAACATGAAAGTGAAAGCTTCTGTGTCTGTTCCTTTTGGGTGTTATATTGAACACATTCATAGCGTATCCATTATTCCTTCAATGAGTTGTATCTTCTGCTGTATATAGGAGTTGAGCTGTTTAGTTCAGGGATTGGTGATCTTTATTATCCAAGTAATGAATTGGACCCATATCTCAGAGATCAAAATGTAAGTAAAGAATACTTTTGTGCACTGCTTTCTAGCTTTCATCCCTTGTCTTTCAATATGCTCAAACATCACTACACTTTACATTATTCAGGATGATGAGTCAGAAGATTTGGAAGACATGACAATTAATCCAACAGACTCTGTAATTGTTTGTGCAAATAATGAGGATGATGTCAATCGTCTTGAGGTATAATAAATGCTGGCCATGAATAATTTGCTCTTTCATCTCTCATCTGCCTTATCAGTTGGTAGATAAATGGAGCACTGAAGTGCCATTCCTATCTTTTCTGGCAGGTTTGGATACTTGAGGACTCTAGTTCTAATGAGATAAACATGTATGTTCGCAATGAGATCATGATTTCAGCATTTCCGCTCTGCACAGCTTGGTCAGATTTCCACCTTAAAGGGGAAGAAAGAGGTGAGACCTATGAGCATTTTGATTAATTCTTATGGCATGCATATTGGTGTTTATCAAATACACTTCTGTGTGGTGCAAATGGTATTTTCTTTCCATTCTGACAAGCAAATGAAGAGAAACTCCCCTAATAATTAATGGCCTATTTGTCTGTGGGGCTAGGGAGAGAGTGAAATGGGAGAGGTTAGCAAACTCTTGCATGCAATATAATGCTAGAATTGTTTAATTAGAAGTCTCTTCATTCCTCTCTTTTTTGGGGCAAGATACTACTTTTAGGGCCTTTTGGGTATGCTGGAAGCATTGTTAAAGAAATGGGAATAGGATAAGGAATTGAAACAGGAATAGGAAAAATGAATGGGAATGGGCTTTAAAAGTGTGTTTGGCATGTTAGTGAAAATAAATGGAATCTTGATATAATTTTTGTTTGTGTATTAAATTGATGAGATGGAAGATTTAAGATGGAAAAATACCAAAATGTACCTAATTTAAAAAATAATTATATATCATATATATATATATATATCTATATATTATAAAAAGAACTACCCTAAAATAAAAACAAAAAAACCAATGAAATTAAGAACCCAGCCGTCCAGCCATTCTGTTGTCGGCTAGGACCAGCCATTCCATTGTTGGCAAATCCCCTTCACCAGGCACCAGCGGCTTCATTGAAGACAAAATGGGAAAAAATATGGTTCCAACAAACCATCCAGCTTTCCATCAACACCACTTAGGAACGTTGCTTCCATCATTTTCATGGAAAGAGACTTTCCCTGGAGATGTTGTTGATAAATACATATCATTTTATGCGCAAAAGTTTGACTTTAACTATGACTTACTTTCTAATAATAATAATTACAATATGTTCACAGGGAGCTTCATAGCTGTTGGCTCAATGGAAACTTCAATAGAAATTTGGGACCTTGATGTTGTAAGTGGATTGTGATTATAAATTCGTTCACTTTCCTAAAACTTGGTGGTTACTTTGCAGAGTCCCATGTTATTTTCTGTTGTTTTCAGGTTGATGATATAGAGCCATGCACGGTTTTAGGTGGCATGAAAAAGAGAAAAGGGAAGAAGAAGGTTTGTTTCAAATTTCAAATAATTGCATATTTTCAATCACCATAAAATTTTATTAGCTGCCATCATTCTCCAAAATGTAACATAGGATTATAATTTATTAGTAGAATAAGATTTATAATGGGAATTTAGTTGGAAACAATGCCTGTGAGTGGTCATACTATGGAAACTATTTGGTGATAGATGGTTGAACAATACTTGCTCAGATAACTGAATCTTCAAATATATCTTTGTCTGATTCCATGGAACTTTTTGATAGTCAGAATTACAGAATCCTGATGTAAAAACACTTTATTGATTATCTATGTTGGTGCTTTTGAACTTTATAAAAGAACCTGTGGCTAGTAGCATAGATAAATTGATTTCATTTGCATGTGGGGCTCTATTCTTTAAATGCAGGGGTTCTTGTGTTTTGATGAAGGCTGTCTTATTTTATTTAGTTTGGATGTTTGACTTGTCCCAACCAAGGAAATGAGTTCTTGCGCATTAGATAAATATCTCATTGCATCAGTATTTTTTTTAACCCCTTTATATGTAAATTATAGTCTGGCCATTTTTTTTTTAAACATCTTATTTCAATTCCTTTTTTTTTTTTTTCAACGAAACAAGTCAATTTTATTGATCAGCAAAAAAGGCAAGTTACACACACTAATCAGACACGAAAGACAGAGACTCAGCCTAGAATACAACCTAAAAAGGCATACAACAGAAGGACAAAATAAAGTCTAAGTACAAATTGCCCAATCCCAGATCTCTCACCGTTCTCATCACACACAAACGAACCAGCACCAATGTTACAGGACAGAGAAAAATCAGCATCCAAGATCTTCAATAAAGGAGATGTTGCTGTCATAAAGCACCCCAGAGGGTTCATCTCCCTAATACCCCGATCTGCTAAGGTATCTGCAACTTTATTTCCTTGGCACCTGACCAAGGTCAAACCAAGTTACTTGCTGACTTCTTCTCTTCAAAAAGCTCTTCAACCAAAGCCTTACCCTGCCATTCACAATTCTCAGTCAAACCTGTCAACATCATTTTATTAAAGTGATTCACAATCCATTTCAATGTAAACCAGCTTACCTGCAAAGTTACATGCAGCAGTTAAACCTTCTTTCAGAGCCAAGCATTCAGCCATAAAAGGTGAATCTGCCAACACTTTCTTTTCTTCGCTCAAAAATTCACCTTTCTGACCTCTGCACACAATACCCACCCCAGCCTTCTTTCCAGAAGCAATAAAAGCTCCATCAACATTAATTCTTACTGCATCTCTCTCTGGTGGAACCCGCTGCTCTCTTCTTTTCACTGCAGGTCTATTACACTTGAAACTCTTTTTTTGTCTGCTCTATTCGCTGATATAAATTCTGTCACCAATGTAGCAGCAGAAAAAACTACTCTTCTTGCATCAACGATTTTCCCTCCAAACGCCCAATCACATCTCCCAACAAATTGCTGCTATTAGAGCCTTGTGTCTATCGGTAAACTCCTTTTGCTCTACCAACACTGAAGTCAACCACCTTCCAGCTGAGCTAATACCCTCTCTTCTCAAAATGAGCCCCAATTCACTGCCAAACCAACATCTATTAGCTCAAGAGCAGAAGAAAAATAAATGTTCAGTAGTCTCAACCTCAGTCAAACAGATCGGGCAGCAGGAATCTCTAACATATTTTCTTCTATACAAGGCTTCTCTAGTGGTTAAAGCCCCATTAATTAGCCTCCACATAAAATGTGTTACCTTCAATGGTACCTGTAACCTCCAAATGCCATCCCACATCTGTTTTGGTACCACAAAGGAGTTACTAGGATCCCTACCCTCCACCTTATTTCCATTCTGTCTTGAAACATGATACCCTAACGGTATAAACTCCATCTTTACATCCTTGCCACACAACTCTATCCATACAAGGTCTCTCTAGAATAAAGATCTTCAGAATCATCTCTTTATCTTCATCGGACAGCAAATTAGAAATGCTACTCAGGTTCAATTCCCATTTTCAGTCAACTAATACTTTTCGATTCTCATCAATCACTCCCTCTTGTAGTAGTGCCTTCAATTTAACTTCACCGCTTCTAGGCAACCACTTATCTTCCCAAATTCTCACAGACATCCCCAATTTCCAGCATAAATCCTTCATTAACAAATCTCTACCTTCCAATAAGCTATACCACCACCATGAAGCCTTTGGACGTTTTTTGGCTTCTAAGAAACTACATTTTGGAAAATAAATTCCTCTTAACAACCTGCACCAATAATCATCAGGGCTGTTTATCAATCTCCATGCAGTTTTTGCTAACAAGGCCCTATTAAAATCTTGAAAATCTCAAAACCCCAAGCCACCTCCTTTCTTAGAACCAGTCATATATTCCCAATTTTTTGAATGTATTCTATTCCCATTTCTGTCAATTTGACCCCACCAAAAGTCATATCTCAGAATCGAACTCTTTACTTGTTTTTTGGGAAACAAAAAGCATGTCATGGGGTAAACTGGGATGGCATTTGCAATAGTCTTCACCGAAGTCTTCCATTCTGCAAATGTGAGCAATTTCTGTTTCCAACCTTGGATCTTCATTCATATTCTTGATCTGACAAAAGCCAGAGCTGCTGATTTTGATCTCCCCCAAAGTATAGGAAGACCAAGATATTTTCTCCTTTAATTTTGGCTTAGTATTTGAAGGAAAAACTATACAAGATTTTTCTAAATTTATCTCTTGTCCAGAAGCTAAGAAATTTACATCTAAGATTTCCTTCAAAACTAGACAATTACGTTCCTCTCCCTTTACAAAAAATAAAGCATTGTCTGCAAAGAAGCAATGAAGAAACAATGTGATAATACAGGGCCTCCTCTAGCTAATCTGATTCCTCTCCAATCACCATTATCAACATGGTATTGACTCATTTTTTAGAGAATATCTGCTACAATAATAAAGAGGCAGGGAGACAGTGGATCACCTTGTCTTACTCCCCATCCCAGTTTAATTGTAGCCACATCCTGCCCAGAAACTTGTAGATTAAATCCAATAGAGTTCACACATTGCATAATTCTTTGCACCCAGATTCTGCAGAAACCCATTTTCAATAACACCTGCTTGAGAAAGTCCCATTCAACACGATCTTAGGCTTTTCTCATATCTGCTTTCAAGGCCAATTCAACTCTTGTACCCTTCTTATTTTTCAAATATTCGAAAGCTTCATGAGCCACTATAATATTGTCCTGGCTCATTCTTCCTGCAATAAAACCACGTTGCTGCTGTGACATGTATTTCTCCATCAGTTTCCTCATTCTATTTGTCACTATTTTTGAAATGACTTTGTAACAGACATCACAAAGCCCAATTGACCTAAACTGACTGACAGTTTCTGGCTTATCCACCTTGGTTATCAAAACACTATCACTCGCAATTCCAGTCTTATTAATGGCCCTCAAATCTGCCTCATTATTAAAGAACCCCTTCACCATACTGCACACTTTCACATCACTGCATGAGACTCGGTAAAATAAACCAGAAAATCCATCTGGTCCTAGTGATTTATTGGCATTTAACTGAAAAACAGCATTTTCAATCTCAACTTCATCCGCGGATCTTGGTAACATCTCATTTTCCTCATACATAACCACCTCATATACATAATTCAATGCTGCATCCATATTTCTTCCACCTACAGTACCTACAGTAGTGAACAAAGAATTATAAGATTTGTAGAAGTCATCAATTTCATCTGTCTTTTCTAACCAGTCACCATTATCATTTTTCAATCTTAGGACTCTATTCCTCAATCTCCTTTGCATTACTGTGTTGTGAAAACATTTTATATTACCATTACCATACTTCAGCCAACTAACCCTCAATCTTTGCCACCAATACATTTCTTCCTTTTTCCATGCTTTTTCAACCCGTCCTGTTATTTCTGCTATTTTCAAGGCTTTTTCTGCAGCTAATACACCTTCATTACACTTAGCAATCTCTTTCATCTGAGAATCAATCATTTTTCTATTATTTGGAAATGCTTTTCTACTCCAAGAAATCAAACCTCCTTTACATTTTGTCAACTTTGCTCTTAGAACAGCAAGCTTATTATCTGAAAAGCAGTTTCCTTTCCTCCAATTGTGTTGCACCCACACAGCCTCAAATTTAAATCGTCTAGGAACCTTCTCATCTGGAAAACAACAATAGATGATTATCAGAACCCACTGGTTCAATTTGAAAGACCATAGCCTTCTTATATCTAAACTCAATATTTCCCACATCTGATTTCAATTCTTAGTGAGCGTATTTTTCTGATTCTTTAAATTTTTCCTTTTTGGTGGCAGAAACCCAACAAATACAAGGATGGCAGTCACACTGACTCCGTGCTTTCTCTTGCTTGGAACACTGAGTACAAGTATGTAAATCTAAAATTTAATTCTTCCTTCGTTTCTGTGTCTGGATGCCTTGTCTAACAAAGATTTCGCTTTTTGGATCCTTCCCCCTTCTCACCCTGTCCTCTAAACTAATAATACAGGAATGTACTTGCAAGTGCTAGTGCTGACAATCAGGTGAAGATTTGGGATGTGGATGCTGGGAAGTGTGAAATTACGATGGAGCATCACTCAGACAAGGCAAGTGCCTAGAACTAAAATGGATTTGGTTCATTCTCTTAGCTCATTTTTTGTTTATAATATAGAGTTTTTACTTTCTCTGTAATCACTTGTAGAACAAGTAAATTTGTAAAATAATGGGTGGATTGTGGTGATATTAACCTCACAATTTTGAGATAAATCTTCTTTTAGCATCTGGAGTGTTTTACAATATTCTTCATATGCGTATGATTTCTTGAATATGTGGATGCATATAACATTTTAATGAGATTTTCCTGGGGCTTTGATTGTTAAATTTTGCATTGTTAAGGAGGGAGAAATCTTTCTAATTTGCATTTATTCCTTCTTCATGAATCACCAAAGAAATATTATAATTTATTTTTCTGTGACTGACTTAGATGAGCTGTGTAAATAGCTTTCTTAATGTCTTCCAACTCACTGGTTCAACTATCCTGTCAGGTTCAAGCAGTTGCTTGGAATCATCATGCTCCACGAGTTCTTCTTAGTGGGTCTTTTGATCGTACTGTTGTCATGGTAATGTTCCAATATCTTAATTTACTCCTATTTTGTCTTCTGATCATACATGGGAATTTTATTATGCCAGATGTATTTTCATGTGCGAAGAGAGAATGAATATTAGTGAGTCATGCCTAAATGTTTGACGTTATGAACATGGCAAAGTTTGCGGCAATCTTCTGTGTTGCTGTGATTTGGTGTATCCTGTCAACTAGGAATGCTTGGGTTTTTTAAGGAGAGTGTTATTATATTTATTCATTATTTTCACTACAAAGTGAAGCTTACAAGCGTGATCCTTGTTCAAATATGATGTTTCTAATGCTGTTACACTTAGCAGAAGGACGGAAGGATTCCAACACATTCTGGATTTAAGTGGTCAGTTCCAGCTGATGTAGAGAGCGTGGCTTGGGATCCACATGCTGAGCACTCATTTGTGGTTTGTTCCTTTTGAATTCAGTACTTTTATTTTACTTGCGACACTGTTTCATGCAGTTACTATTTGACTGTTTTCTACCAATAGAAAAAAACGGGGGTTGATTGATTCAAATTGATGAACTTTAATTTTACTATTTTTGGTTGATTTTTTTTTCTCCAAAAAATAAAAATTTGAGTAATCCCGACCTAAAATTTCTTGTTAGGTGAGTCTGGAAGATGGTATTGTCAAGGGTTTTGATGTTCGTGCTGCCCAGTCCAATTCAACATCTGAACCAACGTCTGTTTTTACTCTTCATGCACATGATAAAGCTGCCACCTCAGTATCCTATAATCTGTTGGCAGCTAATGTATGTTTCCTCAACCTTTTGGTCAGATTTCTTTGTTCTTGAGCACACTAGTCTAATTATGCCCTCTTTGACACGGCTTTGCAGCTTCTTGCGACTGCATCCACAGATAAATCGGTAATTGTGAAGTCATTTTATTAATATGCTGCATCCTGCATATTTTATATTGGAACTTTATTTGAGTGACCACTGTATTATTCGACAGGTTAAACTTTGGGATTTGTCAAACCAACCATCTTGCATAGCATCTCATAATCCTAAAGCAGTAAGTTCTTTTGTTTCTTCCCCTCGACTTCATGTCTCTGAATGACGTTATCTTTTTGAAGTTATGACCAATAGCTCAAGCGATACTGATATTGACACAAATACGAGGCATGGCAATATATAGGGCACTCAAATGCAACTGAAGTGTTATGTTGTACTTTCTCTAGTCTCTAGTATGAGGCACCTTCTGGAAGAATTTTTTTAGTCTTCAATATAAGGCACATAAAGGGTTGCTTATTACCATTTTCTAATTTTACTTCTGTTATAAATTTAATTTTATGATCCATTGTATATTGTATCTCTCTTTTCTCATTTTTAATAGGGGTAAAGTTGAATATTTTTTTTAAGACATATTTAATGAGTTAATTATTATTCATTGATTCTGGTAAAGTAGTTAAAAGTGCCTTGTAATAAAAACTAGAGAAAGTATCTAATGTGCAAGTACTAGATACATACTGATAAAAATGCATTATTTGGGGAATGGTGATTTATGACACTGACTTGTTTTTTTTTTTTTTTGTGTTGGTTTTTTGTTAGGGAGCTATTTTCTCTATTTCTTTCTCAAAGGACAATCCATTCTTGTTGGCTATAGGAGGGTCCAAGGGAAAATTGCAGGTGATTGTAAAGTCTCTACTGTTGTGTGGTTTGTATTCTTGATAATCATTCATTAGTGAGAATAACTAGAAATACTTGAAAATTTGCAGGTCTGGGACGCCTTATTAGCTTCGGGCGTCTCTCAAAGGTTTGGAACCTCTGGCAAGAATAAACCTCGAACTGGGTCTTGATACTGATCATGGACGAGTTGGCCAATCATCTTCCTCTATTTTTTGCCTTTTTGCAACGAGTGTTGTGTTGCCTGTACAAAAAAGTTTTAAAACTTGATGTGAATGACATCATTCGGTTGCAGTATCTATCTCCTGTTGGGGGATTTTCTTTTTCAATTTTTTTATTCTTCTTTATGATGTCTTCTATAATATTATTTAGGAGTGGCTGTTGGGTTGACTGTTAGAAGTCTCTTCACTATTGTATTTTGTATTTTGACAGGTTCTTATTGAGGCGATTCTCATTTTTTTTTTCCTCAAAGCATATCTGGGCTTTTGGAGCCTGGTCTGTGCTTGATTGATTCAGGCCAAATTTTTTAAAAAAAGAAGACCAAAATTAGGAAAACAGGGATATCCCCCACATCCCCCCCCAAAAAAAAAAAAAATTAGAGGGGTAGGTACTAATAGCCTGATAACTGAGGTTGAATTATTGATTATTGATTTTTCATTGATAGGGGAGTTTACCTATCATTAAGTTATGAAGTCTTTGGTTATATTGAATGTTTTAGATGTGAAACTGAAATGGTTAATAGCTTTTGGTTTTTATGGCTTAATTGGTTAGGTTGGTATTTGAAATGATGACATGATAATTAAATAACAATAATATTAAATGCATATATATATATATATATATAAAAGAAATAATGACTGCTATGAGATGCATGGAGATATTATAAAAATTTAAAAGTAATTAAATAATCACTATAATAGAACTAAGCATATTTGATGCTCATTTCCTCCTATATCAAGTATGCTTTCGTCATTTATGTAGTTGCCATATATTTGACAATTAAACAATTGCCAAATATATGGTTTTATAGTTGATGGTTATCAATAACCATCAAGTATAATGCACTAGAAATGGTTTTGGTACAATGTTAGAAGGGTATATTTGATGGTTGTCTTATCTAAATAATCATTAAATATGCCTTGGTAATTTTGTTTTAAATATGGGGGCCACTAAAATTTATGCAACCCCCCTCAAGTAAAATTGACATTTACATATCCAGAACATCGAGCACATGATCTGGCCAACATTTGATCAACAACATTATTTCAAATTAAAAGAACACGCACACACGCACATTGCAATAAAACTCAAATTCATCACAAATTGTATTCATTTTGTTAAAAAAGTCACAAAGCCTATCTGAAAAATCTCATAATCCTATCCTAGAAAATAAAATAACATTCTATAATAGATAGCCCTATAGACCAAATGCACTCACTAAAGATTGTGTGAATTTTGCATCACCTACAGTTGGAATACATGTTAACACCATTCTTCCACAATTTCATTGATTGAAGCATCCCTAAATTCTTCATAATAAGTGTCATTATAGTATTATAATTTAAATTAAGAAAAACATAACTTTGAGTTTCTGTACTTTGCTCATGTATTGCTATATGTCCTTACACTTTTTTTAGGTTGTTCTAGGTCCCTTACACTTATGTTTTTCAGTGTTCTAGGTCTCCAAATGAACTAAGTGTAGGGATCTAGAATACCGAAAAAAGTACAAAGATTTATAGTAAAACATAAGCAAAGTGTAAGGACTCAAAATTATGTTTTTCCTTTAAATTATAACCACAATAAAGTTAGTTAACTAATTAAATTTTATTATATAAAAAATGTAGTTTAATCAAACATGAATGTTGGAAGGGATTGGAATCTTGGCATGAGTGATGATGTCCCTAGTGAATCTTGTCATGCAATATCTGAAGTCTATAGAATCTGGTCTTTGATGTGGGCACTTTAAAAAAAACCAATAAAGATATATTAAAAGTTGAATGATTACTAATAAATTCTTGAATAATTAATCATTCAATACATACCCTTATGATTGTCCATGTGAACAATTGGTCATATGGTTTGACCCTGGGGATAGTTAAAGATTCGTTCATATGGTTTAAAAATGTAGTCCTAATAACATAGAAGTTGGTGTAAGAAGTTTGAAATTAAAAAAATAAACAAGTATGAAACTTAATTAATGTGCTTACTTATTGAATAATTCCATTATATCTTTGCCATTATTCGGTTTCCCACTAGCAAAACACAAGTAATATATGGCCAATTTCTCATAATTTTTCCCAATCAGATCAAGAGCAATCAGCATCCAATGATCCCTAAAATAATTAACAATTGCAATGAATATATAATAAAATAGTTAATAAAATTGAAAAAAATCATTAAATATAACAAATAACTAACCTTTGCATGATAAGGTATCAAGAATAACCTCCCCCCTTCTCCGTAGTCTTGGCTTTGAATGAATTATGTAACCACTTTTGCTCGATCTTCATGATTAAGGTCCCTAATGTCAGGGAAACCAACAACGTCATAAGGACAAATAATGGTTAATATCCTAGTAAGGCTGCGGGGCACGATGAGTGTATGGTAAATAAACCTAAAATGAAGAAATCAAATATTTAAGTAGATATTTATACAAATAATAACCATTCTTGTGTAGAAGTAGTGCATCAAATAAAAATTCATGATGGTCATGCTAATCATAGCATGGTGGAACACTTCATCTACCATTTTGAGTGTTATGTGGTTGATATGATCTCTACTACACATGCCATGCTCGAATAGTATTGAACCATATGTTTTGATGATAACAAAACTAATAAAAATGTGTATGTTACTTGTGCAGATAATATATATTAACAAAGTGACAAAACCTTTAAGACTATGAAGATAAAAAAAAGATTTAATGTTATAAGTTTATTTATTTTATTCTTTTATTAGATTCAACTGTGAAAACTAATGAGAGCTATTATATGTTTTTAAAATGGTAACAATGCATCATATTAGAAACTACTTTAAGCTCATAAGTCCTTTAAACCTAAGCAACAAACTCTTAGAATGCACCCTTGTTCATATGTCCAATCTATGCATGACCTGGTGTAGGTCCATGCGTGTTTTGGATATTATTTGTGCGTGTTAAAACTTAGTGGATCCAATTTAAGCTTGAGCTAAAACAAAAAATTGCTTAAATTAGACTTCATAAGTGAAGTTTAACACTATGGTCCAATCCACGCTTTATCCATAAATGGTCCATACATGTTTGGGCAATCAATGTAGGCAAGTATCTTGATCATGCTTCTGTATTTTGATTCATGCTTGATTACATTTAATGTAATATCCTCCTCCTTTTAGTCCCATAATTAAATCCAAGTTTTGACTAATTAGGAAATGGGATTATAATAATCATCAAAATATAAAATTTTTATTGGTTAACAAAATGGGGACCCTAAGTTTATAAAACTAAAATCATTTTCAAATCTTGTAATCAAATAAATCAAAGTTCACAATTACGCGGAAGCGAGAGATCATTGCATAAGTGAGTGCATTTGTTTAAAGAATTTGAAACAAAAGAAATTCTAAAAAATTTTGAGGAGTGTGCTGTGGCTTGTTGAACATGCACCGCGGCTTGCAATACCATGCGCCACAGTGTAATTGCATGAATTTTGATAGTGAATTTTGCTATCAATTTTGACAGCATTAGGGCCAACTTCCGACACGCCCCAAATCTCCGTCTGACTTTCAAATGATGTGAACTAGGTGTTTACAGAAAACTCTTTCTGGGCTCTAACTAATGGCATTGGTCTCAACTTAAAACAAAAATTGGATACCCTTTTCAAATCTTACACTTTTGAAATAGATTTCACAATTTCAAGTGCCTAAACAAAATACCAAGGACCAATAGCCACCAAAACCAAAATGACCACATACAAATCATCAAGACCAACTTGTGTAATGCACCATAACACAAGGAATATTTTCAAATCAAATTTTCACTACTCAACTCCTTAAACTCAAAAATATAAAAAAGGGGAGTTTACCATAATTTTCATCAAATGCTTCCAGATCATCACATAATATTCTCTACCCTCACTTGTATTAGTATTTTGGCTCTATCACCATAATACATAATAATCAACTCTCTCCCTAGGGCCCAAAATACCATTGCATAATTTACATTTCACATAATGCAAGTAAGTAACAAAAGAGAAATTCTAGTTGGCAATTGAAATTGTCATACATATAAGTTTACCTAAAATAAGGAGGCCTATTACAAAGGAATCGCGATCCTAAGCCTCTGGGTATTTTCCTCTGTCCACATCTCTTGAGCTATTCCCTATAATATTAAAGATCATGGGGTGAGTACAACTACTCAATAATCAAGGTCTGACTAACCCATACTAATTCATATCAATTAGTTTAAATACAAGTGGTAGTTAATATTAATACTTTATCCCATGTGTAACAACTGAAATTAGATATTCACAATTCAACTCACATAATAGTATTTACTTAAGAAATAATGCTTTTAGCACTTTTTATATAAAGAGAATTGGTCACACAAAATCATTGACAAACATATTGGCAAAAATTAAGACTCAACTAAAGATATCATCATTATGGACTCAATATAGACAACAAGTGCCTTTACTTACTATATACATGATCACACCTCCCTTATATCCTCTTTATTCTTTTGACATGAAATCGTGGGCTATAACTTAATGGCATAGTCTATATTTCTTGACTTCCCTAGCCTAAACACTTGTGAGGTGATTATCCAATTAAGGCGCACCCAACTCACTTATGGATCACAGTTTCCCCCATTTTTCACACCATGGGGTGTCATATACCTTAGACTAGCCTCCTCAATGAGTTGATAGATAGCTAGCTAGGTTCGAGCCCCTCGTTGAACTAGTGGGACAGTCCCTCATTGAACAAGTGGGACAATATGGATAGAATCAATCTAGGCAAACCATTATATGGATGGGCTTTACCACATGGATTTTATCATCTACTCCGCTTCCTAGGCGAACTCCCACCTCTCAAGATCATGCAATATACATTCATGATATAACTCACACATATACAGTTCATAGAACTTCACATATCAATTTTCATTGAATTTCATCATTACACAATCATTGGACTTTTGAATCACATTTCATGAAACTTCGAACCAAACAAGTCATTAAACTCCAACTTTACAATCATTATACTTCACATTTTCAAAATCATTGAACTCTACTATTTTAAAACATCATTGAACTTCTCTTAAACAAAGATTCATGTTACTTCTCAATTTGTAAAATCATTGAACTCCCAATAAACATATCTCCTAATAAACATTAATATGAAAATCCACCACTATTATTCTCAAGGACATTTTACATCACAAGGCATAAAACTCACAAATTGGATCTAGTAGATTTCCTAACAAATTAAGCC